ACTAAATTGTATAAAGTTATTGCACTGAGGGTAGAGTGACATGAAGTCTACAGTGAGCACTGAAGTGTCCTCATCCCATCCATTCCCACTCACTGACTGACTACTGACAACTCCAGTTCTGCAGGATCCCCATAGTAGAAGTGCTGTCATGTTTGCCTGCAAATTATACCCTGGGGCATGTGTGTAGTCATCTTCTCAGTGTGCTAGTGTGGATTCAGCAATTTTGTATAAGGTGGACACAGGGAAATCCACTTGTCTGGGAGCTGATCTAGGATATATTGATGTAGTTCTTGTGGAATTTGTGTGAGTTCTCATGAGAGTGAGTTTATGCAGAAATACCCTGACCTGGTTGACAACCTGCATCCTGTTCACTGTGAACTCTTCTTGTTCACACATTCCTGCTATCAAGGTTCCATCTCTATGAGGTTCTCACCAGAGCAAGTTATGCTGTGCCACCTTGAATCTACGAAATGTGAGAGGAATACAGTGTTCTGGTGTTAAATTATTTGTTTAAGAACAAAAGTTAACTTCTTTATGCCTATAGTTGTGGATGATTTTACTTACAATGATTGTTATGATGATTATAATGATGATGGTTATGTACTAAGGTTTCAACTCAAAGTTTTGCACTTTATAGATGAGCACTCTACAGTTTGAGCTATGCCTCCACTTATATTTGCGTTTTTCCTAGGTAAACTTTGTGATCCTACTATAGGCATAAACATCTCACTGAGCTGACAGACATGTGCCAACAGGCTTTAATTTTTTCATCAGATTCGGACTTGAGGATCATGCTTGGTTGTCCTCCAACTGATCCTCTTTAACTATTTAGCTTTGGATGACAGGCATCCTTCATTTTCCCATAAGTTATGATTACATTTGTGAGACATGAGTGCCACACCATATTTTGAATATTATCTTTAATGTTCCTTTAAGTTTAGATATTTTACTACTTATTTGACATTGTAATTCTATTCCTCTAGATTTAAGTAAGTCAACTGTTGTTCAAGTCTGAAGTGTAGGAGCAAAGGTTTCACTATAGCCTAGGTTTGCAGCAGGCAGGATGCCCATGTTTGTGTAGGCTCACTCTATGTCATCACACAATGAAAAAATTATCTAAACATATCCTCCTCATTCAGTGACACATGATTGTATCTGATAAGGTTGATATTCACTTAAATTCTTACATGGAACAGTCCATTTTTGACACTTCCAGCTTGTCAAGCAAGCACCTCAATCCCTTTCACCTCTGCCATTTCGTAGCTCCAATGATCAGTACATATCTTCAGGTTTTTCTAAAAGCAGCATCCACCCTGCTACTATACATATCTTGGTCTGTTTGTCCTTCTTTGAGAAAATACAACAACTTGGTAATTTTAAAATCATAGACATCTCTGCTCACAGTTGTGGAGTTGGGAAGTCCTAGTCCAATGTTCTGGTGGGAATCTGGAAGGCTGGCTTCTGTCTTCCAAGGTGACATTTGTTGCCACATCCACACATGGTGAAGGAGGTAAGCACAGCACAGTCACATGGTGGAAGGAAGGAACAGTGACAATCTCAAGTTCTCAAGATATTTATAAGAGCATGAAGGCAGAGTGCTCATGGGGACTGACATAAGATAATCCTCACTGTAGTCTCAGTTTCATAAACATCAATGCCATGCACACCTGGGCAGTCTTCCACAAGTAGCACAGAGAGCACAGCCATGTCTTTGAAATTTTTCCTTTGCTCTACTGTCCTTATTTCCTCCTTTGCTCCTTCCCCACCATGTTCCCAAGCAGTTCCTGATATTGACCTCCTTTGTTCCTCTAGGTCAGGATTCAGTTTCTAGAAGTTAAGGAAGTGAAGCCTTGCATTATGCACTTCTCTTTTATCTGTCACTGGGCATAATTAATCACGAATGCCACAGTGCCGAAGCATTTACAGGATTAATGATGGCTGATATTTTATGAGTTAATTAGATACAAATTGCTTACATTTTGAATTGCTTATGGGTATTGAATTGTTCTCAGGTTCTGATTCTACAAATAAAGCTTCAACTGAGCCTAGCAAGGTGGGCTTCTCTGAATCCAGCTGCTCTCTTTCATAAAGCAGCAAACAAAGCAGGAAACACTGATTATTGGTATAGAAACCATAATCCATCAGATATCAATAATTATAAGCAGATCACTAACCTTCTGGGTGCAGACAGTGCTTAGAGAGAAACTCAGTACATAGGAATGATGCCACGTGGCAGATGCAATCAGAAATAACAAGCTAGTACAACCTTACAGAAGAAAATCTCCAAGGACTCCAGAAGGTCATGAGTTCAAAATATGCTATATTCATAAATGATCTGAAAACTTACATCAGTAGGGTTACAGTTCAATTCAAGGTTTTGTTTCCTGGTTAGGGTTTATTCCAGTTCTCCACTAACCTCAATAGTTCTGCCCCAAGAGAAGTACATGCACCTCTACCCTACTGTGCAATACTCACCACTTTATCACCATAACAAAAATACATAACCTGCAGGGTTGGGACTTCAGAGCCAGCAACTTGGACATGAGGGAGAACAGAGGTCTGGGGGAAAGAGAGTGTGAAGAGATGAAACGCTTCCCAAAGCCACCTCCCCTCTGTTCCTAAGTAGTAAGTGCTTCACCTCAATCAGGACAGCACACCAGGAAGCTGAGCACACTGTGGGAACCCTTGCATCTGTGTTAGTGAAGAACTGGGAAAAGCAAAAGCAAAGCCTACCCTAGGTGCCAGGTAATATATCAGGGCCCCAGGTCACTTCTGTATCCCCTTCCCATACATTCACAATTATCAAGTGAGTGTAAACCTGAAGTGGACCTGGACAGGCAGAGTGAACTAGATCTTCTTGAGGAGAACCAAAGTACCTCTTCTGGGTGCAAAGAAGAGGTAATTAGTTCTGGTTTTCAAAGTCCTCAAAATGCCCAGCAACACTCTAATTTTTAGAAATTCCACAGAATAATCCTGTGAGGCAGCAGGTGTGGTTATCTCTAGAATAAAATAAGACAGTAATGTGCTAACATACAGTGTGGTCTTAAGCGTATAGGAATTAGAGAAAATAAAACTGACAGGATAACAAGAAGACAAAACTCATATGAAGAGAGAATCAGAATGACAATTTATACATATTTGGGACACGTGAAATTGAACAGAAAAGTGAAAAACTTCATAAATACTCTGAGACATTGTGAAGAAAGTGTAGACTTAACGAAGGTCAGCTAGGCAAGTCAGCCTAGGGTTGGAACTGAAGGAAAATGAAGTGGAAATGCTTGGTGAAATCACCATGAACACAAGGAGAATTGCACACCTTTCACAGGTTCATTATAGGATTGGAGTCCACATTGAAAAGAAGCAGAAGCTGAGGTCCTGCATGAGGGAAAACTGCAACAAAAATAGATAGTTGAGACTTCCAGAGACCACCAAGACCTGAGGCATGTGATACCTGAGGGTCTGAGCTGTAACACTAGGAGGGAGAAGAGTTCTAGACAGAGACACAAGGCAGAGTCTGCAAGAACCTATGGGAGAGTAGAAGGAATGAGAAGATGACTGCACAGGAAAGCTTAGACTGTTGACAGGAGAGGAAAAGAAGGACTCTGGGTAGACATGAGACTTTGATGGCTGTAAGCCTGTTCACTAGATGAGCTCATGGTAGCCTCTTGGTGTTCAGGAGCTGATTGAGTCAACAGTGGAAGCCCAGACCAATAAGGATGTCTCACACTCTCTCACACCCAAATCCTGAACTTCACAAAGGACACCTGAAAGCTCAGAGAAACCAGATGAAACTGTCACAAGTGAACTTGATGCACTAGGGAAATTGCATTCAGCATAGTGAGAAGGGAAGCCAAGGCCAGCACAAAAATCAGGTTGCTGACATTGAGGAAGGACTTCGGCTTAGGGTGGCCCCACTCCAGGATCTATAGGGATGAGAGATGAGCAGCTTTCATGAGTGGGATGGACTATGTCTGTGACTTTCTCCCTATACACACACAGAATGCCCTGCTGTGCTCATAACTCCTGCCATCTGGATTCCAAGAGGGCAGGTGACAATATCTCCTGGGTTTTTCTGCTCAGGGTGACTGCTGATCTACCTTCGTTTTATCTATTGTGCACATGAGCAGCTGTGATTAAGGGATGGACACTTATCACCTTAACAAAATAGCCCAGTGTGATATCCTCCTGCTGCATGATGCCCATCAGCATGCTGGATTGGACTTCTGGTATAGGTGTAGTAGGGTCAGTCTGCAGTACTCCTCAAAGCCACAGAGGAAGAGGTGACTCCATGACAGACTGGACAGAGCAAGGTCAGCTCTGTGTTCACATTAAATTTTGTCTGTCAGTGTTTTTCACGGGTTAGTAATGACCATGTTCATTTCTCACAAGAGTCCTTTCACAGAGTACAGCAGAAGGGCCCTGGGCTGTGAAGACTGAGAGATCCCTCCAGCCTTTCCCTCCAGCCTGCAGGAGACACTGACTGAGACCCACCTGAACTCCAGCTATGTGGGCTTTGTCCTGGGATATTGAGCACAGATGTCACAAATAACATTTTCTGGATGAAAAAAGGAAAATGGGATATGTAAAAAGGATTGTTACTGAGCAAGAAAAATGAATTAAATAATATAAATGGGTCAGTTTGAGGGCATTGTGCCTAGTTCCTCACAGAAGGAGGGAAAGAGAGAGTCCTGTTAGGTTTTTTGCATCACTGAGAGAAGTCTGAAACTCCTCTTTTTTACAACCTGAATCCTAATGTCTGTCCTAATCAAGGAATCCCACAGAGTCTCTGCTCTGTCATTGGAAAAATACTTAACCTGGAGCTCTGAGCCAAGGCAGAACCTGACCAAGGCAGAGTCACTTCTGCTCCTAAATGTGATATTCTATACTTTGTTCATTTCAGCATATATCTTATGTATTTGGAAAATCACAATAAAATAGAACAATTTATGCTTAGAGTCATAAAACCCTTTTGTCATGGCAGCACCTGGCACAAAACTGACCTAAGAACAATGTGTGCAGACAACCACCTTCTGGTCACGCAGAGCACTACAGGGAGTTTTATGTCTGGGCTCACACTGAAGTCTCCTCACTGTGCCTGTTGTACAGTAATACACGGCTGTGTCCTCGGCTCTCAGGCTGTTCATTTGCAGATACAGCTGGTTCTTGTTATTGTCTCTGGAGATGGTGAATCGGCCCTTCACAGAGTCTGCGTAGTATGTGCTACCACCACTGTTGCTAATTCCTGCAATCCACTCCAGTCCCTTTCCTGGAGCCTGAAGGACCCAGCTCATGGCATAGCTACTGAAGGTGAATCCAGAGGCTGCACATGAGAGTTTCAGAGCCCCTCCTGGCTGCACCAAGCCTCCCCCAGACTCCACCAGCTGCACCTCACACTGGACACCTGCAAACACAGAGAATCATGACAGAAACTGTTACATTTCCTCCCACTTATGTCCACTTACACACTCAATATTTTATGTTCTCTATAAATCACCTTTAAAAATAGCTACAAAGAAAATCCAGGTCAGCACTAACTCCATGGTGAGTGGTCTGTGCCAGGGCTAATCAATGAATGGGGTCAGCTACTATTCAGGGCTGGGCTCCTCTCCAGAGCTTCAGGGTCAGGGCTGGGCTGGTTTTCAAGAGCAGAGGGAGGCCTTATTTGCATGTCCTCCTGCTATATAGCAAGCTCTTGTGGAAGATTCAGAATTGCCAGAGTCCAGATCAGATCTGACCATCCTTGTAGAGATTGTGACAATGCCTACATGAAAGAAAGAAAGAGAATATTTAGTGGGGAAAGTGTAGAGATAGAATGGGAAAGGACAGAGACCTTGGTTGATGAATAAGATCAAAGCACTTTGCAGACATGTATGAAGATAAAGTAAGCCACATTGAAAAATTAAACATTTAAAATTGCTTAAAAATGAAGGGAGGGCTGATCAGGAACCATAATAGAGGTGGTGAGTTTGTTCATACATGCATATACACATTATATGAATGCATGCAAATAAAAAATGAAACCTATTTGTGCAATATACGTTAAACAAAACTAAGGTGAACACGAAGTTTAATGATGTGACAGATAATCATTATGAGCACTAGGTCTTATTTAATTTTTTCTGTGAACATAAAACATATAACTATTAAACTTATCTTCTTTCAAACATGTGGAAGTATAAAAATCACATGGTTGGTGCTGTGTGTACAGGAGTTATGACTTCAACCATCCACAACACTGATCCCTAAATCTGACTGAGGCACACCTGGTGAGGAGTGCACAACCCCCTTTCTGTGATGATCACAAGGGTGACATACCTGCATTCTAGGTTTAAAAGGATATAGAGAACCAGGGTTCAGTCAGATGCAGGATTTTTACTCTCTGGCATCTCATGGCATTGTTCCCCAGTCACATTTTATACATTGACATGTGTTGTCTCTCTTTAACAAATTTACTGTGTTTCAGCACAGGATGTAATAACCATGTTTATTGAGAGTTGTTTATGTTTATTCCGTTACAGGATAGAATACTAATTGCATCTAAGAGGTTAGATATCCTGCATAGGACACACTTGTAACTATCACTTTGTTGATTAAGGTACAAACATGAGATTTCAGGATTGTATGTATTCATAACATGCTTCCCACGGTGGACCTCAAAAATTCAAGTCCACTTTCCATATTGAATGAATTCCTCTGTTGCAATAGTCACAAAGGAACTTGTTCAAGAACCAAATATAAAATCTGAGTTTAATAATATGATGTACAAAGTTGGTATTAAAACAAGTATGGTGGAGACTGCAAGAATGTGTTCCCCTGGCATTTGGTTGACACTCCCATTCCAAAATAGATGATGTGAAAGAAGAGATGGAGAACAAGTCCATAGAAACCAAAAATTCAGTGGGTCACACATTAAACATCAGTGTTCTATTGATTCACACTGCACTAGGCACTGAACACACAAACATTGTAGTCCCAACCGTATTTTGTTGTGTGTACCTGACTCAGGAGCCTTATGTGTGGGAGCAGGTTTCCTGAGCATTTCATGTCTTATTTTGCATAATGAAGCCTCTAAAGGGATATTTTCATGGCCGATATACCACACCCATATGTCCTCTACAGATTTTCCCTGTTGAGACTTCCTGGACTGTGCATGCCTTGCCCCCATGGATGCTTTCTGCACTCTCTCCACATCAGCAGTGATTCTCTGTCGGATCCTGTGGCTGTATGGCCATGCTTTAAAATCTACAAGGAGGCTTCCCTGCATCACAGCTCTAGGATTCTTCAGACCAGCAGAGTGAGCACCAGATGGACACCACCAAGGTTTTTGGAATGTGGCCTCTACAGGGATAACTGTCAAAGCCCACACTGAATCTGGACATACTGGAGCCTCACCACCAGAGAGTGATGACTATGGTATGGGATTGTGTGAGGCAGAGACTATAGTTGATGGAGTTCACTGAACTATGAATTCATTGAAGTGCTCTGTGTCACCTGTGATGCTGCCTTGCACTCATAATCTTGTACTGTGGTTCTGTGATGGAGTGACAGCCTCTGAAAAGCCTTTGGGTCATTCTTCCATTATCCTGATGAACAGCACCTGGCTACCTTCTGTCCACACCAGTCACCTCATCACAAGTTTCTCTGGCTGTGCCTTGATAATCTAACCTATCCAGATCTCCCTCCTCTCCATTCGTTACAACATGGACAGGCTGAGACTTTCCAGATCTGTAAGTTTGACTTCCATTTGGTTTTAAATTCCAAACTTGTCCTGTTTCTCTTTTCTTAATTATTTTTTTACAAGAAGTCAGGAAAAATGGTATCATTCACTCTCTCTGTGTTTAGAGATCTGCTCAGTCACATGTCCTGTCTCACTTCCTTAACTTCTGACACAGCACAGGAGGGCATGAACACACTTCAGCCATGTCATGTACCACAATACACAGGACATGTGTATTGAGCCTGTTGCTCATTTCCATCTGAGCTTTCATCAGAATGCCTTCATCATCCATGATTCTGTCCACACCATGACATGATCATTTAGCTTTCATGGTCATGTGCCACATAACACAGCTTCAGACAATGATGGTTACATGTAAGGCCATAGCCACCTAAGACTATAATGGAGCTGAAAGTTTCCAATCAGCTAGTCCCCTCTCAGCTGCTATAATGTCACAACATAGTGCATTTTATAGGGGATTGAAGAGGGGCTAGAGTTAGCAAACCCCCTGCACTGACAGTCTTATGGACATATATCTATATGGTTATGGATATTGAATATATGACCATGATCATGAAGGATGATAAGTCCTGGGTTATCTTATCCTGGACTCTTGTCCTGAACTCAGTGTTAAGTGTGTTTTTTATCAAATCCTAGGCTCACTCCTGTGTTGTTTTCATCATGTCCCTAATTATACATAGAAGTTTACTATGTTTCTGATAGCGTCCACATTGAGTGATGATCAGGGAATAGAAGTATATTGATTAAAGTGTATGGATGTGCACAATCGTGTTGGCTCTGTGGTTGTGATTTTCCCATTCCATGTTTCCTGTGTAGCATCAATCCACTTTGCATTGTTCCCTACATGTCCTCTCCATCCTTCCCCATATATTCCATTTAATGACTGTACATTACTCATCACACTACTACAGGGTACAGGAAATTAATTCACACAGTGTACTGGGGTTCCCAGCACAGTGCCTACTAAGTATCATGTGAACAAACTGAAAATGTGCAATCCATTTTACTGTAAGGAAGGAATGCGTGTTGTGTCTGAAAGTCTGACTTAATCAGACACCTCTCCTATTCTTTCACGGCTTTCAAAATATCAGCAAAACAAGGAATTTTCAGGCAGGTAACTGGTGATCTCACTGGAACACAGAGCATTTGTATTGAGCAATGATGTGTGGTAGGTGGGTTGTGCATAGTGTGCTCAATGGTATAGGGAGTTGGGTCTGGGAGGACTTTCATCAATATGGCCATTGAACTTTCAAAAAATGGAATACCATGGCTTGATTTAGAGTTTCCTTGTTTCCATGGTTTGAGTCCTGGATCTACACAAGACTCCAAAACATATCACATATCAGCAAAACAAGGAATTTTCAGGCAGGTAACTGGTGATCATCCTGGAACAAGAGCATTTGTATTGAGCATGATGTGTGGTGGGTTGGGTTTGTGCATAGTGTGCTCAATGGTATAGGGAGTTGGGTCGGGAGGCTTTCATCAATATGGCATTGAACTTTCAAAAAATGGAATACCATGGCTTGATTTAGAGTTTCCTTGTTTCCACGGTTTGAGTCCTGGATCTACACAAGACTCCAAAAACATATTCACAATTCCAGAAGCCTTGTTATTTAAATGTCTCTCTTTATTGTCCAGTGCCATCACCTGGGTTGTGATTTGACACCCAAAATATATTCAAGTATGGATGCAAAACAGGTTAACAGGCTGGACCAGTCCTGGCTTATTGAGGCCCAACAGAGTCATACACATTGTCTTGGTACTTAGTCAGAGATCTTCCAAAGTAGAGAATGGGAGATTGCATGTGAGTGAATTGTCATCTTTGCCTACCACTTGTAGTGATTCTCACACTGGCAGCCTTTTAGAATTAACCCAAGTGTTTAGAACTATGTGCATGCCATAAGGGAAGCACTGTCTTTATACCTCCCATGTAGGATGGAGAAGTTTAGTTGTTTTTCGTTTTTATGAATGTAATCAACTAACATTATACATGTTTTCCAAGGAGTTTAAATTATAACTGTCTGATTATCCAAAGTTATTCAGAGAAAATTACATTCAGAATGTTTCAAATATTTAAGATAAAATGATTTTCAGATACCCCTGAGATAAAGATACATGGAGTTGGGGATTGACGTGTAGATCAAGCATTGAATAGTATTGCAGCCTCAGATCAAAACTCCCATACTGTACAAGAAGCCAAGATAAATGGTCAATTACTATGTATTTAGAAATCATTGATGTAAGAAAATTTACTACTTCATCCATAATTTCTCTCCCAGACTTTGATAAATTACCTGATATAAATTATGTGATATAGATAAAAGTGAATCTGAAGAAGAAAACAATTTATTGTGCAAGAAATCATTTTTCTTTTTTTAAAGTTTTAATTGACAAATAATAATTATTTATGTTCAGGAGATTCAGATTCCGTGCATGTATTTAATGCCCAGTGTGCAAAAATTACCAAGATTATCAGACCTTCCACCACTTCAAATATGTACAATTTCATTGTGGAAAATGCTGTCTTCTTCTTGTTGTGAAATGCACAATACATGATGGTTAGTGAAAGGATGGAGATGGAACTGGAGAACTGTGTTCAATGAAATAAATCAAGCACAGAGCCATTTTCATTCTTTTAAACCAGTTTCTCATTAGTGCCCAGGTGCAGGCCTGTGAAGACCAGGAGCAGAGTCCATGCTATCTATGCTCTGCAGTGAAAGAGGAGAAGAAATGGAAACCTCCACATACTGTGGTTTACAGTGGATTTATTGTCCCACTGTTCAGAGGAACCATATCCTTGTTCTCCCTATGTGTCCATACATCTGAGTTTCACCTGAAAGTGTGTGAGACCATTCACCTGTGGTGAAC